TTTAAACTGATTTTAAATGTGTTGAAAAATATTTTAAAATCAGTTTAAAGACTTGGATTGGTTCATTGTTGGTTTTGTGATTTAAAAAAAAGGGATTAAAAAGTGACATTTGACCTGTTTTTAATCAAACAGCCACAGTTTAAGACTTCATTAAAACATCAGCTTGTTTCCTCCTTGAAATTAAACACAAAATAAATTCAACACAAAGGAAATAAAAACGGCACTTTTCTGTTTTTTTTTTCTTTACTTTTATTTTCTAATTCAAGTTCAGTCCGTTTTTAAAGTGATTTCCTGCTTTTAGCTGAAAGTTTCCTCCTCAGATGATTTTCTGAAACAATCCTAACTTAGTTCAGTTWAACAATAAAATGTATTTCCCGCCTCTGGCTTCCCGTTGATCCTGGCGCCACGCACCGCGGGAACCCGCGTTTGGCACCTGCGCGCCAAATATCCGACATCAAAGAGTTTCTTTACAGTAGCGACACGCTCCAYTGTCYGCRCGTTCACGAGCACGAGCTGAAAGARAGCGCGACGAGCSCCTGAGATGAATATTATCCATCAATCAAGAGCAAATCTCCCTCCTGACCCGCTGACGTCATCAGACAGGATCAAATCAATGAGCTTCCTGCTCTCTGATTGGCTCCCGCCTCCTCGTGCAGCAAACATCACGACACACAGCTGATTGTTTCACTTGGTGACGAATGTTTATCTGTGGAAACAGTCAGAGCCAGACCTGATCCTGGCCCAGCAGGGTCAGAGCCAGACCTGATCCTGGACCAGCAGGGTCAGAGCCAGACCTGATCCTGAACCAGCAGGGTCCGAGCCAGACCTGATCCTGGACCAGCAGGGTCCGAGCCAGACCTGATCCTGGACCAGCAGGGTCCGAGCCAGACCCGATCCTGGCCCAGCAGGGTCCGAGCCTCAGGCTCAGTTTAATAAAAGCTCCTGATAAAAGAAATTTGATCAAACTTCAGTAAATCTTCAGACTCTGTTAGAAACATGTTGAACTTTCATCAGGACCACAGTCTCATTAAAACCAGGACCAATCAGGAGCAGATAAAAGACTCCAGACTCTCTGATAGGAGCAGAAAATCTGGATTTTAATCTGGTCCTATTGAATTTGTGATAATCTGCAGTGTTCACACTGACTGATTCAAACAGCTCATTAGTTACAGCTTTCATCAGAACAAAGAGTTGGACCTCAGGATCAGATAAACCACTTTTACCTGATGTTTTATAAAGTCCTGACATCAGAGCTGTGAAGTAACTMAGTACAAATACTTTGTTACTGTACTAAAGTAAAGTTTTTGTGTATCTGTACTTTACTTGAGTAATTATTTTTCAGCNGACGGAGTCACAGATGAGTACTTCAGCAGAGTTCCAGTTGTGTGATCCTGTTCTCTGCAGTCAGAGCTCTCTGCTGCCCTCTGCTGGTGGGAGGTGATGTGACACGTTCCTGTTAAAGAAATGTTTCAGAGCAAAACAAACTCAGGTTGTTTTATAAACTGATGTATTAGAGACAGAAAAAATTCTATTTATATGTTTAAAAAGATGAAAAAGCAAGGTTAATATGATACTAAGTAGTGTAAACATAAACTGTTGTTGAAATTACAAAGATTGTCTGTAAATTCCCTGTATTATTTATTATTTCAATTAATTTTGGGAAAAAAGGGACAGATTTAAATTTTATTCCATCTGCTTCCTTTCATGTATAACTTTTTTATTGTATATAGATTTTCCTTCGTTTTAATGAACAAATAAAACTAGAGAAGTTGCATTTCCTGCAGAAATGCTGGTGTGAATGTTTTATACTGAAAACTTCAGCTGAAAGCTGCTGAAACTGAGCTGAAAATATTTAATAGGAAAAGTGTTAATACCTTGTATTAACACTTTACTTTGAAAAACTGAAAGAAGCAAAAATGCCTAACATTGCAAAAAAACAGTATAATGGAGCACAAATCTAGTGGAAATCAGCTGAAAGCTAAGAGCTAAAACAGCTGAATGTAGCTGAAAACATCTGTAAGAAGTATAAATAACAGTAGGTAACGGGAAAAAGGCATAAAAATAGAAAAAAGCAGAAGAATAGCAGAAAGCAGATCTATGGATAAAGTAGCATTAAATAGCTAAAATTAGCATTACTGTATATTTAAAATGGCTAAAACAGCTGAAATTTTCAGTAAAACTGCTAAAAGGTAGATTTTTTTAAAATTAGCATAAGGAAGCATAAGAAGCACAAGTTTGTTAACCTTAGCTGAAAAAAGTTGTAAGAGCTAAAATGTGTATTTAGTCTAGAAAAGCTAACTTTAGCTAACAGCAGCTAAACGTTAGATAAAATTTCAGCAAACAGCTGAATATAGCAGAAAGCATCTGTAAGAAGCATAAATAGCACAAAGTAGTAGAAAAAAGCAGAAGAATAGTGGAAAGAAGTTGAAATTTAGCTGAAATAGCAGAAAAAAGCTGAAATTAGCAAAAAGTAGCTAAAATTAGCACAAAACCGTGAAAAAGAGCAGAACCAGAACAAATTGTGTCAGGTTCTGTAAAGATTTAGAGAAATTTTAAAGGAATTTAAAGATGTTGAAAACAGCTCCATTCTTTTTCAATGGCTAAAAGTGGCTAAATAAAGTGAAATAGCTAAAAAAGTATAAAAAGCTGAAATACCAAAAGTCACAGCAGCACTCACATGAATGAGCTGAACGTTTTGATACATGAACTAACATTGTGGAATGAGTTAGATGCTGAAAAACATACAGAAAATAAAATGACCTCACTGTGAGTGCTGTGAAGCGTCACATTTTAAATAAATACATAAACTCACATACAGTTTAATAAAAAGTAGAAAAATATTAAAGATAAAATAAAAATCCAGACTAAAGTGAGTTATTGTGAAGCAAATGAACAAACAGAGCTCAGTCTAAACCAAATTAAATCGGTGTTGTTTTAACCTGACCTGGACTTGTTCTGACCTGTTTGGACTCGGGACTTTGACCTGGACTCTTTGGGTTCTGGATTTGAKGAAATGAACTGGATGACATCCCTGGAATATTTCCTGCGTTACAAGAATTATTATTAAAAGTTAAAAAATGAAATAACCAGACAAACAACTGATGATATTCATGAAGAAAGAGCGCCCTCTTGTGGCTCAGACTGAAAATAGCAGCGTGTTTCCCCACATGG